AAAAAAAAAAAAAAAAAAAAAAAAACAATTTTATAATGAACTAGATATAATGATAATAATATCTTGAATTTTTTTTGTAGAACGACCAGTTTTATATAAAAAAACCCGATTCTAATGAATTCATAACTTTTTTGCATCTGAAAAAAAATAGTTACCATTAGCATTTAGATTTAAAATCATTCTACACACATTTTTAATTTGTAAATATTACATAAAATAAATTTTTTAAAAAGCAAAGAGGGAAAAATTTTGTGATGTAACTAAATTTAATGCATCCAATCAACGATACGTAGGACTTGCATACATATCAAATAGTATGTCATACCGAATTTACACTTATAAGTACATATCACATATGACATTCGGTAATTAAAAAATATACTCAAACATGAATAATAAACAATCTGAAAACAATTCTTTAAAATCAGAGAAATGGATAAATAATTTTGAACATCAAATTAGATTTATTTCATTCGGTTCTTTTAATAAACTAGAAACCGATGACACAATGTTATCTAGTAATAGTTGTAAAGTTTTCTCAATAAATTGTAATAGAATTGTAGTTTTAAACAAAATTGTTTTTTTTCAAAAGTATACGCTAGAAGATTTTATCAATGATGTAAGTGTTCCAATAAGAATATAATATGATTTATGTTTAGATTTATGTTTATTACTGTATTAAATGCATTTTGATGTTTTTATTTAGCTGAAGCAATACCAAAAAGTGGAATTGCATGAAAATATCTTAAAATTTATAGCAATTGTTAAACAAAGTATTGATGAGGTTATATTTATTCATGAGTATGCACAAAATAGAACTCTTAATCAATATTTAAACCAAAATTTTAGCAAAATTAAATGGGATAATAAGTTACGTCTTGCAAAACAGATTACTAGTGCTGTAAAATGCTTACATGACAATGATTTTGTTCATTTGAACTTGGTATTTGCTTTATCATAAATCTTTTTTCCTAACAATATTAAGTAATGCTAAATTCTTTTAATTATTTAGAATCTTAGAAAAATATTTGTTCATAAGGACGCTATTAAAATTTATATTCTTCCAAACAAGAATGAAATTTCTGAGAAATTCAATTATATTCCGTATACTGATCCTCAATATTTACAAAATTCCAGTACTTACAAGCTTAAAAAGAGTTCAGATATATATAGTATTGGAGTTCTTCTTTGAGAAATTTCAAGTGGAGTTGCACCATTTACATCTGAATTACCTTATAACTTTAATCTATTAAATGAAATAATTAATAGAAAATGTGAGGTTGCGATATCTGGAACACCTATAGATTATAGAAAACTCTATACAGGTAGATTTTCTATACGCATTTTTATATTATTTAAATGAAATACAGTTAAAGAACTTTATAAATTTATTTTTTACTCTAGAATGTTGGCAGCACAATTCGAATCAACGTCCAACTATTCAACAAGTAATTGATGACTTGAATAATATTAACTATAATAACATAATTAATAATGAGAACATTAATAAATTAATGTCAACAATAGAAGAAAGAAACACTCTAGATTCACTAAAAAATCATGTCGATTTTCATGATAAAACATCAAAAGACTTGGAATTAATTTCTTCAATAATTACAACTTTGAAAAAAGACTTGAATGATGAAAATAATATAAGTAATAATCTGAATAACTTATTAAATATAACAAATTCTTTATCTACCTTGAATATCAGCATAAAAATTTTATTTTCATTAGTTAGTACAAGTGAATATGATAATGATGAACAGAAATTTCTTTTCGATTTAAATGAATTTTTTTTAACCCAATACAATATACAAGGTGCTACAACAAATACAGTAAGTTCTACAATTCATCGTATAAAGAAATATATAAAAGATCATAACAAAAATCCGGAGGAAATTCTTAAACAATATAATAATTACAAATATAAACACTACTTTACAAGTATGATTGGTTTTTTTTATGAACATGGAATTGAAACAATAATTGATTACCATAAAGCATTTGATAAATATAGACAAGCATCTAAAGATTTTTATTATTCAACCAAGTTAGACGATCCCATTTTAAAAGAAAATCAGCAAATTGGGTTGATCTCTCTTGGAATTCTTTATTTAGAAGGAAAAGGAGTTGTAGTAAATAAATCAAAAGGACTACAATTATTTTTTAAATCGGTTGCCAAGGGTTCGAATTTGGCAAGATCTTATGTTGGAGATTGTTATTATTATGGTGAGGGAGTTATTAAAGATCATTCACAATCATTTAATTGGTATTTAAAATCAGCAGAAGAAGGGAATGCAAAAGCACAAAATAACGTTGAATATAGTTATCAAATTGGTGAAGGTATTCCTGAAAATGAAGAGGAGGCCTTAAAATGGTACAAGAAATCAGCAGAAAAAGGAAATAGCTTAGGACTGCATAATGTTGGTGAATGTTATCTTGTTGGTATAGGAACTTCTACAGATTACAACAAGACTTTTGAATGCTTTTTAAAATCAGCAAAAGAAGGAAATCGGTTAAGTCAAATTCATGTTGGTGAATGTTATCGTGATGGTATAGGAACTTTTGTAGATGAAAAGAAAGCTTTTGAATGGTTTCTAAAATCTGTTGAAGGGGGAGATAGTTCAGGTCAAAATAATCTTGGCAAGTGTTATCTTGGTGGTATAGGAACTTTTGTAAATGAAAACAAGGCCTTTGAATGCTTTTTAAAATCTGCTGAAGGGGGGGATAGTTTTGGACAAAATAATCTTGGTGAATGTTATCTCGAAGGTAGAGGAACTATTATAGATGAAGAAAAGCTTTTGAATGGTTTTTAAAATCTGCTGAAGAGGGAAACTATTTAGGGAAAGAAAATCTTAGTAACTGTTATCGATTTGGCATAAGAACGACTTTGGATGTAAAAAAGGCTGAAGAATGGTTGAATAAGGCTTAGATTTATGGTTGAACTAAGGTTTAGATTTATGGCAGAACAAGGTTTAGATTTATAGTTAAACAAAGGTTTAGATTTATGGTTGAACAAAGGTTTAGATTTATGGTTGAACAAAGGTTTAGATTTATGGTTGAACAAAGGTTTAGATTTATGGTTGAACAAAGGTTTAGATTTATGGTTGAACAAAGGTTTAGATTTATGGTTGAACAAAGGTTTAGATTTATGGTTGAACAAAGGTTTAGATTTATGGTTGAACAAGGTTTAGATTTATGGTTGAACAAAGGTTTAGATTTATGGTTGAACAAGGATTAAATTTACTATTTTAAAACTTTTTCAAACATAGCCTAGCAAAAATTTAGCAAGTAACATCAATAAATTTAAGCTTTCATAAAATTTTATTAGACTGAACTTACATAAAAAATGTTTTAATTTGTACACAAAGCAATAAATAAGATCTATTGCAAAATTGTTTTCAATAAATATAAATTGTTCTCAAAGTTCGTATATCAAGCCATTGTTCATACTAAATTTTCCTGTCTTATTAACGTAAATGATGATAATAGTAACGCTTAAAATTATTTTAAAAAACTAAAAAAAATTAATAATTAAACATTAATTTATAGAGAAAAGCACATCTTAATAAAACAAGAAATATATATATGATAATTTGAAATGCTCGAAAAATTGACCTAAAAGTTATTAACTGAGATTGCAAGGTCTTCATCGGATACTGGAAAACTTATTTCTCGAGAATCTATTCATTAAAAATGATAAAAAAAGCTATCAAAAAAGCACAATTAATAATAAAGAATGTTATATATACTTAATTACCTCTTTCAAAGCCATCATAAGTATCAGTCGGTTTATAAGGAGTTGCTTCTAGAAAATGAAATTAAAATTTAAAAAATAAAGATAAAATTTCCAAAGATTCATTCTATTAAAATTTAAAAAATAAAGATAAAATTTCCAAAGATTCATTTTAAATTAAATTTACCATCATCACCAGAAATAAAAGAGAAAGACGACCGTTCAGCGGAAACTCTAAGATAACTTAATCTATTCACAGGTTTTGGCAAATTCTGAAAATTCAGTAATCTACTTTTATAAATTGCTTCAGGATGAGGCTTTTTAAGGGATTCCAACTCATCAGATTTTAATAATCTTTGTCTTTCATTTTCAGCGGAAATAAATTGATCAAACACATCATGTTTCTGAGATATACCCATATGCCATCCCCAAGACATAAAAATTTTTTCCAATTCTCTTATATCGGGTCTCCGTTTAGGATTTGCATCCCAACATAGTTCCATCAATTCTGCGAAACAACGAGGAGTTTCCAAAATTAAAGCGGGTCTCAGACCGTTACATATATCCCAGGCCAATTTTTCATCATGAGCACGATCATAAAAAGGATGTAGTCCAGTTGTTATCTCCCACATTACCATACCAAAACTATATACATCAGAAGCCTCAGAGTACTCACCACCATATAAAACTTCAGGAGCAACATAAGGTAACACACCATAGACATTAATATTAACGTTGTCATAAAGAATAGGTTTATCAGGGGGTTTATATTGACCTAAATCAGAGATTAAAGTTTTATGTTGAGAGCCATTAAAACATCTTAATATGTTACCACTATGAAAATTTCTATGAATGAGACCAGCATTATGAATTGTCATTAAACCATGAGCTATATTATAGACGATGCCTAATTTTTTTTCCCAGGTGAGATTTTTAAAATTTTTTGAAAGATAATTGTATAAATCGCCTTCTATTAATTCCGAAACTATTATATAATCATTTGATATAGGATCACGACTGAAACCATAACAGTGAAGAATGTGATCACTTTGAAAAATACAATGAAATTTACGAAGCTAAAAAGACAGAAAAAGTTATTAGCATTTAGAGTAATTATATTAATTATATGAGTAATTATATTAATTATATTAATTATATTAATTATATAAATTAATTAAAATATACCTCTTGCCAGAAGGAAGCTTCAGAATTATTTGAACCATTTAATCTTTTAAGAGCGATTTGCTTTTCGCTTTCCCGCACCCATTGAGATTTCAATTCATCCCAAAATAATTTTGGACCCGGCTTCCAAGTAGCCTTATAAACCGAACCAAAACCACCTTTTCCGATTTCCTTTATATTAATAAATTTATCATACGGAATCCATTCCAAGAACGTCAGAGGAGCGATAGAATTTAATTGAGTGTATTGAATAAATTGATCTAACTCGGTATTACCACTTGTCCAATTATGAAAATCATCATTGAAACGTTGGGATTCACAAGGTTTACACCAATTGCGTTGGGTATATAGTTTTTTACAATTAGGACAGTTCTTTGAAGGAGCTAAAATTCTACGGGTCTCTCTACTAGCTGAACAACCCATTTACGTATAATGTACTCTTGAATTATTATTTATTTAATTAGGATAAAAAGTAACTTATCGTTATATGAATTAATTAAAATTAATTAATTGAATTAATTGAATTAACCGAATTAAGTTAATTATTACTACGTAATTTCATTGAAAAATTTCACCAGACACAATAATCTGCTTATTGTAATTTAATAAACAATTTGGTGATATTTGTTTTTTTTTAAAAAAAAACAAATCCCGTTTGATATGTGCAACTTTGAAAAATTATTTGTTTGGAAATCGGAAAAAAAAATTTCAAATGTATTTTGCGGGAATTAAAAGAAATAAACTTTAAACTAGCCACTAGAACTAATAGAGATTTGAGATATACAAGTTAAAATCTTTTCATTATTTGGTTTAATGATTGAAATAAGAAATGGACAATTACATAAACATCCGAAAGTTCTAATTTATAAAAATAAAAAGAATAAGTAATTAGACCATATATTATGTGCGTGGCACAGGCTGCATTATTTTATTTATTGCATTCTCTAATCGATGCTGTACTGCATTTGTACGTATGTACTTATGTACTTGATTCTTTGTTATGACTTAATGCATTATGCTTATTACTATAGATATTGCTATAGACGTGGTTATACAAAGCCCCTTATGTACATACGTACGTATGCACATCAGTTTGATGGTACGTAAAGTACAGTACGTACGTAGCTGATTTTTTGGTCTGTATCATTCAAAGGACAAAAATACGGTTTATAAAAGAAAAAGTTCATCAAACCCAAGTACTTCACTACTAACCCCCTAACATGAAACCATTAAAAATAGTTATAAAAATTGAAATTTGCAAGTCTATATTAACTGTGCATGCTATCAAAATTTAGTATATACTGGCGTGCAGTACTACTTTACTGAATATCCCATTCAAAGTGTTTAAAAAATAATGTTTCATTTTTTCACCTTATTTAACCTCTTTTGTTTTAATTCAATGTCAAAATGACAAAAAAGACGCTGATAACTTCCCGACTACGTATGAATAAAATTCATCTTAAGGCATTACAATAATTTGACCGTTTGTGCGTACGTTACGTGCTTAAATACGTACTGTACGTATGTACGGTACGTACGTACGTACGTGATATACCATACTTATCGTTTTATGTTTATTAATTCAGTTAGCGAGTTGGCAAGATCATTCAAAATGAAAATAGAATTACCAATAATATAGAAAGGTAAACCAATGATCATGTAACTTTATCTGAATAGACATAATTCACATGCATGTTTGATTGTTCTTAAGACAAGCTAGTATAATTTTGGTAAAAGAACGATGCATCACGTTCCCCACTAATGTTGCTGATTGAAAATCCCGTGGGTCCTATGAATTCAATTACCGGTAACACAGATAACACAATAATTGTCTAAAATGCATAGTAATAGGATAGCAGAGTTGGTTCCTGGTTTAATGCGCATAAAAATTAATACAAGCCCCTATAACTTAAATGGGTTTTAAACCAAATAGATGCAAATGCAGACTCCTACATATAGTCCATTGATTTTCTCGAATTTTATTTATGTCATTTAATATTTAATACTACATTCTATGGTGAACATCATACAAAAATTCTCTTTATGTGTACATCTATTTTAAAATCAACTACTATTACCATATAGAAAAAATCTCTATAAGGCACAAACTCTATTAAGTACATTTCCAGAAAAAAAGTCACTACGTATGATCCAACGGCGTGATTGTAGGAGTTAAGAATTAACAATAAGTATACAGTATTAGTTCGAAAATTAAAATAATAATAAATTGATTAAAATTATGTCATCTATATAAATTTAAATTCACACACTTGTTGTTTGAACTTAAAACGTGAACTTAAAGCATTGTATTTGTTGTACATGGACAGTTGAAACAATGCTAGGAAATATCTAGATCTTTTGTTTTAAAAATAAATAAATAAATAAAATTTTAAAGAGATAGCCTGCTTTCAACAACTAATAAAACTTTTGGTTAATATGCAATATAGGTGGTCAATCTATTAGTGCTTGCAGACAAGCTCTTGTGAGTCTACCTGTATCACATATTAGCTTTACCTTATAGTAACTACCAAATTTTGAAGGATATATTCAGGATTAATGAGTTTTACACAATTAAAGCACATTTCATAACGATAAAAACTCAAAAAAAATGCTATGAACATAAACATTTGGTTGAAAACAGGACTTATGTTCACTATTATAAATGGGTCTTTATTAGACAATCAATTTCTATTTTCGATTGGATAAAGAAAATTGGTTTCCATACATAACTAACAAATCATACCATAAAGGTTTGCTTTATTACCAGAATTAATATATAGGAAGGATTTGTGACTAACAATGAACACAGCAATGAGAATACTTAATTGCACGACTATAATCTTTGTTCTCATCATCTGAATTCGGAAGCGTTATAGATTGCTTCCATGGGTTTTCACCAGTGATGGTAAATGACCTGATTATATGGTCAAAATTTCAATGATTACAAGTCGTCATCAAATAACGACTAGGTAATTTAAACATTGAGGTCATTTAGGTATGCTATTACGTTCTTAATTTATGATCGCAGCTATATAAAGTTTTACCAATTTAATCAATAATTATGTCTTAAGTCGTTCGAGATAACAAATTGCATATATCTTGAAAGTTTTTAATAAACTTTATCAAATTACGCTTATTATTTAAATATTAATCACAATGAGAAACACACTTGGCATACCTAAAATTTTCCGCCAAATAAAATTTATTCACTGACACTTATTTACTCATTGATTAAGGCATTTGAGAACGCCCAATATTTTAAGAGTGCCCTAATTTCCCCCCACCACTTCTGATTGGCCGTACTAATTATTCATTTATCGGAGCCAATCTAATTTCACGATCAGGTGTAACGTAAAAGAAACGCAAAAAAAAATGCAAAAATTAAAAATCGTCC